GATAGCATGGACTTGCATCGTGATCACGGGTTAGGGTGGAATCCGAATCGGAGACCTAACTAGGCTCCGGTAGCGGTAACACATAAGATAGGACCCCGAAGGGCCTTACCTTCCTACGGGATGATGGGTATGTGTCCAGGGGCGGGATGTTGAAATCCGAACCGAGAATCTCACGAGGTCTCCGACAGCGGTAGCAAATCACGTAGAAACAATAAGACCCACGGGTTGGGTTGTACAAAGGATAAATGCAAAGAATATATGAGAAGAGCCGTGTGCCGACAAATAAATGAATTTACTTATTATAGAGATAATAAGTGGGAAATATAAATTATTATTTATATTGTGATATCACCTTATTTTGAGGGTCTTAGAAATTAAAGCGTTGATTATACTCGGTATAGTTGTCATTGTATTTGTCAAATGCTTCCAAGTACTGACCTCCCCTTCACGGGGGAGGCCACCTCACAGTTTCAGGTAGAACTTGAAGGTTGCTACTGACGCCCGTTGCTTCGGGGATATTCAGGGGAGAAAACGTGGTTCGTGCTTCCTCCGTTTCTGTTTGAAAACAATTATATATAAACGCTCATGGATATTATTTTTGAATAATTATTTGGGGGCTTGTATGCCCCTGTTTGCCAAGGTGTGGCATAAACACTTATATTACATGTTTCCGCTGCTTTAAATAAATGTTTTACATTATGTTGGTTTATGGATGTACTATGTGTGAATGGTATTCAAGACGCCTTGTATAGTATGGATGAGTTGGAATGCGGTTGACTATTCGTATTGTACGGCGGGTTGTTGACGTGTCCGGCTAGGTCCGGGGTGTGACACATTATGAAGGAGAATATTGGCATGTATACTCTCCACTAAGCTGAACATCATCAGATGCACACCCCAACACCATCACGTGTCAATAACAAACAAAAAGTGCATATTCTGAGGGGGAGTGTTTCTTTATCTCTCCTCCTGGTGCCAAGCAACGAAGAAAGCACATTTCAAGGGGGAGTTTTCTACTTTACCCCCCGGGTAACAAACAACACAACTTGTAACTTTTGAGGGGGAGTTTCATTTTTCTCCTCCTGATGCTACACAATGTAAAATGCAAGGATTCTCTCGATGATGCACATTTTGAGGGGGAGTTTTCAAAGTTCTCCTCCCAAGCGCCAACCATTGCGAAAGGCATCCTACTGAGTGCTCCAGTTGAGGGGGAGTACAGAGAGAAAAGAAAAGAGCAAAGAGAAATGAGAGACAAGTCCCAATGGCTTAGTAAACACAACTAAGCCTACCCAAGGGACAAAGCCGAGAGTGAGTGAGTAACTGAGTGAACACTATGAGAATGAGGAAGCAGAAGGCTCGTGTGAGCAGGAGAAAAATAATCAATGACAAATCTGCTACCTCAATTGCGCTATCATTCGAGAGAATTACTCCCGGTCACTCAAATACTCAAGACAATCCCCATAGGTTTAGGATTGAATTTATTCAGATCCCGGGTAGAAGTTGTTGCATTTTGTCCAAACGACGCATGCACATCCCTACCCTAGATCACTCATTTGTCTCCCAACAGACAGGTGTTTAATCATATTTCACGGGGAACCTCATCTCTTACAACCCTATCATCGTCTCATTCTGAGGTGACTGATACTGACTACAGTGGCCCACAGCCCCACGCCGATGAACATTCATCGATCACGTCGTGTCTAGTTATCACACTCCCAAATGTTTTGAATTTTCTAGGACACATACACATTTTAGAGTCAGTTGCAGGTCTTCATGACCCGCGAGAACTTCAATAGGGCTCATCTACTATAGATGAAGACCAATGATTAGAAGGAAGTACTTCTGTTGCAACATAGAAATCACCAACATGTTCAGGCCATCACTTCATAGTTTATCTCTATAGTGATGATAACGGGCGTCTACACGACTCCGGGGGGCTACGTTTATCTTTGCTGATCTTTATGATCATGCCATAACAACCGGAGTGACATCTACTTTAGATGTTTCACAATGACTGGTTGGAAGTCCTGTTAGAGCATTCATGCTTCTATCATTTTGACAGGTCACACATTAGTGTTTACATTGATGTTGTGTTAACGGAACACCTCAGTGTATCCGATTTTTATCATTTTACCTTTCTAGTTTTTTCTGTTTTATTTCCCAGTTCGAATAAAAGAATAAAGGCATGACGCCCCGATTCATCGGATCGTCATGAGGGGGAGAGTGGTACACATGCTATTAACACTGAACAAATCATTCTCGGACACTTCTCTCCTCCAACACTTTCTCTCCTATCTCCATCAAAAGCTTCGAATCAAATGGTCAGCTACGCTCACATGTCAATCATTATGTTCCACTATGCCATCGACAAGGTCTCCTCAAATGCATTCATTCCAAATAGGCAAAAAAATTACATTGTGGAGGGGACAAAGGTTAAATACTCATGTACCGAAGATGAATCTCGTGGGTGCCTAGAAATCATCAGAATATTCATTCTAGAGGCACCGCCGAACTTCATTCAAGCTGATCAAGAGCAACTTCTGGAAGGCAAGTACTACATGCAAGATATGAAGATACCTCGACCCTCGGCATCAAAGAACAAATTGCCAAGACATCAAAGGAGAGACTGCAAGGATTTCTTCAGAAAGCCTTCTTAAGAAGCCGAGTTCAACATGAAGACAAAGGAAGTTGAGCTGCACTGAAGATCAAGACAAAAGAGGAGTAACTCAACAGATTTTATCTACGCTCTCCTCTACATTGTTGAATAAACACAAAGACAAAGATATTCGCGCTACAATGCTGGTTGAACACGATTGAACACCAAGGGGGAGATTGTTGAGAATATTTTATGGTGTCCAATCTAATTAAATATCTTTATATTTGTGTAGTTATTAATTGAATGTGTAATATGGGCCACAAATGTATTTCAGTACATTAGCCCACTTGCAAGTCTTAAGTTAGACATCCTTATGTATAAAAGGATGCTAACTTAAGCAAGTCTCATAAGGTATTCACGCTCATATCTTTCTCAGAGCTTATACGGTATATAGAAGAGGGTTTCAACGATCAACATACTATAGAAGTATATCTATCGTTCTATGATTCTCTGATTCTATTGTATTGTATGATTGTTGATTGATTTTGGGACTAACACTTTTCATCTTCAATATGCATCTCTAAACCATATCAGGCCTCTAAAATGATTGGTTATATTACGAGATGAAGGTATACCTCTACGGAAATTGTATATATCATATCTCTTTTCCAATGATATCTAGAATGATGACAAAGAAAAAGCTAATACTTCGTCCATATTAAACACACACTAAGGAGATATGTATGCAAATTGAATTCATATTTGAAACAAAGAGAGGTGAACTAATGAGTTTTGGTTAAATGGAATGATGCATTACATTTGAACACCAGATCTAACAGATCAAAAAAGTTCTAGCACATTGTAACGTCTAATTATGTCCATCAGAAATACGAAACAATGACCAAAACTTGTGTTAGAAAATTTCACAAATAGAAGGGAAATTTAATATTCCGTACTTGAAGAGTAAAAACCAAACAGTACAAAGTAGTACATTAAAATAACAGTTTTTTGGAAAGCATTACTCAATACCTTTTCCCTTTTTAAACTATTACACGTCGACCAGTCTCATAAGAGCCGAACTGGCCAATTCCTAAACAATATATTTGATAAAAATGCTTTTAATTCAGTAATCCATGGGAAACTTAGAACTGATTATTGTCAAACATCCATATACCTTACACAAAACAAAACCATAAAGCCCCTTGACTAAGAGAAAAGCTAACACAAATCACCAACACTTACTATCAACATCAATAGTAACAAAGTAACAAGCACCAAAACAGGTAAAACTCTAAAAACTGAAAGCCTGTCTACATAAGATTTTGATATGGGCATGTCTAACTGCCAATCCTGTTTGTACTTGATTGACAATCCTGTTTGGAACTAACCTTTCATGTTAAACCTGTTTTTGCAACCTGGGCAATGTGCATATATGATTGAATCCAAAGAGAGGAAAGCTCCACACATACAGAACATGAAATCGGATTGATGAGAGTAAACCGACATTGCTGGCATTAAATAAATCAAGATAGATTAGAGATAATGTAAAACTAATAGTTTTAATGTGCATTTCATCCCTCCAACACACTCATTAACATCGTTAATTAGCCTTAACAAAAACAAATCTCATTAGCCTTAACAAAACAAGACTTCTTGAACACAAGCATTTCAATCCGGTGGGGTCAAAATTTAATATATATATAAAACTTTAATTGCAATAAAAAAGGTAAAATAGAAAAATAAATATCACTAATCTTTTACATGAATAAGAGTTTTCGTCAAAGTTAAATACAAAAACACATCACAAATTTACAATTGTTCTATACGAAGTTTCATAGAGTGATATCGCTCGATAATGACATTGTGAATTTTCATCTTTTTCATCACTAAGTTGATAGTATCTCATTAAAGTGATTTTCATCAACTTTTTCAATTCTACAACATGTCACCACATCATATGATTGGTAAGTTATATCATACTAACAAAGTCCTCACAAATTTATTTAAAACAGTACTATGAAATTAAAGCAATATAACAACAACTAATGGAAATATGAGATTATTAATAAACAATGAGATTGATAATCACAACCATATTTCTACAAATGCGGTTAATACTCACAAATCACATTTACACTAAATTACTAATGACTCATTAGTAATGAGATTAATAACAAACAACTGACCATATATTCTAAACCTAAACCCACTACTCAAATCAGTCCATTACTAATTCACTGTTAAAAAATAAGAAACAAAAATTAAAATTAAAGGTGAATTGAAGCATATAAGTAAAAACTTAAAAGCTAGAGACCAAAATAATTACATTACTAAATTAAAAATATACACTAAAACTAAACCAAAAAATCAAAACTTAAGGAGAATATTCTATTCTATAGGTAATGTAGCAGCTAGCAGACAGCGAGAAGGGGGCACGAAATTGAAGTCTGAGACCTAAAAAGTTTAAATAATTGGAGTTGCCGAACTTGTAATTTGTGAAGGCTGAAGAGGTAAAGGCGTTAGGCGTGAAGCACTGAAGCCTGAAGGTGAGAATGACTGATTGGACTGAGAAGCTGAGAAGCCAGGGGCGGGCGGCGGTAGGGCGGTCAACGGTAGGGTGTTCGTCAGTCGTCACCACTTCGTCGATGTTGGCTGCTCCTTTGTTGGGCTGAAGACTGAAGTCCGTATTACTCACCTACTCGGCCTTTTGCTATTCTCGGGCCGTTAGCGGTTGGGCCCAACTCTTCTGCAGAAAACAAGCCCCCAACTTGCTGCAGAGTTTTCCGACCACAACGCCGACGCCCTCAATCCTCCTGTGCTCTTAGCCACTGGACCTACTCCAAGCTTCACCCATCTATCTTCTAACACCAACCTATGGGTCTTAGCAAAAAAGGTTTGCTTTTGGTCTTGTTTTTGGCACTTCATACGATTTTGTGTGAATTTCAGATGTCTGTTCCACTACTAGGCTTCAAAACTATTGTGTAGCATATCATATGCTTTACGCATTCTGCTGTTAAACAACATTTGGTTTCAACGTTCTGCAGGTAAACAGACCAACAAAAGTGACAACCGAAAAGGAGAAAACAGAATGGATGCTGTGTCAAAGCTAACAGAGGAACAAACAGCTAGAGATCACAAGGAACAGTTACAAACTCTACAAGAAAAGGTTAATAACAGAGCTGGTTTCCAGTCAATGGAAACTAATGATATATCACACCTTCAAACTTATTGGTGTAAATTAATAGAATTAATTTTTACTATATGCTTTTAGTTTTCGTAAGAGTTAATGAATGGCCTAGCATTCAGGGTATCATTTGTGGAGCTAATTTCTTCTACAGGATCCAGAGTTCTTCCAATTCTTGAAAGAGCATGACAAGGAGCTTCTTGAATTTGATCATGGGGAATCTGATGTAAGTATGTTGTCATTCGTTTTAACGTTTTTTAAAATTTCTGTTCCATTAAACCGTTAACAAACTGCATGCTGAATACGTCTAGGATGATGAAATGGAAGCTGATGATGAGGCAATAGAAGGTGGAGAGGAAACAGAAGATGATGACAATGAAAATGATGCACATGGAATGGAACAAGGGGAACTCTCCGTGAAAAATGTTATAACTAATGAAATGGTTGATTCTTGGTGTGACTTGATCCGGGAGAAAAAAAACATAGGGGCAATTCGCTCTCTTGCAAGAGCATTTCGTTCTGCCTGCCATTATGGGGACGACAATGCTTCTGACCCTACATTGACATGGAGTAGTATGTCAAGTGGGGTTTTCAATAAAATCATGCTGTTTGTTTTGAATGAAATGGATGGGATTCTTCGTGGCTTGTTAGGTTTACCTGAGACTGGGGTTACAAAAAAGATGGTAACAGATGTGATGACTACTAGAAAGTGGAAAAACTTCCAAAATTTGGTGAAGTCATACCTGGGAAATGCACTACATGTTCTCAACCAGATGACCGACACTGAAATGATTTCATTCACCTTGAGGAGGTTGAGATGTTCATCTATCCTTTTAGCTGCTTTTCCAGTTTTTTTGAGGAAGTACATCAAGGTATCAATTTTTTAATGATAATGTGGTAATGAGTTTGGATCAAATTGAGAATGGTCCAATCCTTTTTCTCTTTTTTTATTTCTGGTTTATTCTTCCTAGAAGTAATGATTAATTGACATTTCAACTTGCTGCTTACAAAGTCAAGTATCATCGCTGAGAGCCTGTACTGCCTTTCAGGTTCTTCTTCATTTCTGGGGTACTGGAGGAGGTGCGTTGCCTGTTTTCTCATTTTTATTTATAAGGGACCTATGTATACATCTTCATTCCGATTGCATGGACGACTGCATAAGGGGAATGTACAAGGCTTATGTGTTGAACTGTACATTTGTTAATGCAACAAAGTTGCACCACATTCAGTTTCTTGGTAATTGTTTCATTGAACTTTTGAGGGTGGACCTTTCCACTGCATACCAGCATGCCTTTCTATTGATTCGGCAGTTAGCGATGATTTTGCGGAAGGCTCTTGATTCTAAAACCAAGGTATTATTCCAGATGTGGTGCTTTTGTTCTAGGTATATATATATATAATTATATATATAGGAGTAAAACTTACTTCATTTCTCTAAATAGTAGTTCAAGCTCAATCTTCCCTAAATAGGACTAAACATTAATTTTCCCTAAATACTCCTTTCATCCCGCTAGGATTGTCTCATCTTTCTTTTTCAGTTCGTCCCACTAAGATTGTCTTATACCGAATTTGGTAAATTTTGTGTGGTTCTAAACCATTTTACATAATTCTTACTTTATCAATTCAATATCAACCACATAAACCATTATTCTTAATAACCCCACCTCCTCCTCATGTCTCCATGTTAGTGGGACGGAGGTAGTATAATTAATTGCCCCCCTAGTTCCCTTGCATAACCGGGTCAGTCCGTTGATGGCGAAGCAGCCTGGTGGCTGCAGTGGCGACCAGCGGAGCGGCGACATCTGACTGGTGGAGGAAGCTTTGTAGAAATTTTCAAAGAATACTCCTATTTGGGGAATTTTAAAAACCTACCGCTATTTTTGCACTTCCTCCATGTTTTACTCCTATTTGGGGAGTTATCTCATATATTTATGCACATGCAGTTATCTAATATGACAAAATGGCATTTGTTTACGGCGTATCCGGTTTTATTGGTACTTTTGCTGGTGAATATGTTAATCTTATCATATGAATCCGACCCGATCACTTGTTTTCTTGGTCAACAGTCAAGATCCAATACTAGCTTTATCTAGTAAATTTGTCATCAGGCTTGACGCCTGTAAATTTCTTTTCTGTGCTACTGGTATGTTTTCTTATGCAATGTTCAACTCTGCTTCAGGAATCTTTCAAAAAGGTCTATGAATGGAAGTATGTAAACTGCCTTGAACTTTGGACTGGAGCTATATGTACTTATGGTTCAATAGCAGATTTCAGACCACTTGCTTATCCATTGACACAAATTATATCCGGAGCTGCTCGTCTGGTTCCAACTGCTCGGTATTTTCCCCTAAGGCTGAGGTGTGTCAAGATGCTCAATCGCATTGCTGCCGCCACTGATTCTTTCATCCCCGTTTCTCTGCTCCTTTTGGATATGCTTGAAATGAAAGAGTTGCACAAACCTGTGACGGGAGGTGTTGGAAAATCTGTAGATTTGCGTTGTTTGCTAAAGGTTCTTTCAGTGTCTGTATCTCAGCCTACATGTGTTTGTAACTGTTTATTATATATATGTATGTGTGTGTCCATCACTCGAGCATCTTACAAAGCACCACCATCCATATGAAGTTATGAACGTACGCTTGGGTGGGTTATGGTAAGGGCCTGAGTGGGATGAATATATTATATATCACCCCCAGATAATGTTATGGGGTACTTAAAATCTAAAAAAGGGGCATTTTCGGCATTTCCAATGCTGTGTTTAGTCTTGAAATGTACCTGATGTTGGTTACCTGAGCAGCACTATACATACATGATGTATTTATGTGTGTATTGAACTTTTAATGTATACGGCAGGTCACAAAACCCACGGTAAAAACGCGAACATTTCAAGAGGCATGTGTTTATTCCGTGGTTGAAGAACTTGCTGAGCATCTTTCTTTGTGGAGCTATTCTGTTGCTTTCTCTGAGCTGTCTTTTGTACCTGCTGTTCGGCTGCGCAGCTTCATTAAGTCCACCAAGGTTGATAGGTTTCGTCGAGAAATCAGGAAATTTATTCGTGAGGTATGCTTTCTGTTTTTTTCGTTTTATTCGTGGAGTTTATTCCTCGAGGCAGAGACGTCTCTAAATCAATATTACAAGCAAACAGGCCTATATATTTAGGTTCTTACGTGGTGCCTCAACACTTTTATCCCTGGTTCTCATGCTCTAACTGATATTTTTGAGTTTTTATTAAATGTCACAGATTGAAGCGAATTCTGAGTTTACAAATAAAAAACGTATGACTGTTACATTTCTACCCAATGTTTCTGATGCAGCATCTTTTCTTGAGGTACGCAATTAATTCTCTCACTTTACTTTATGGTCAATGAATGCATATTAATCCCTCAGGTCTTTATTAAAAAGTACTTTTTAAAGATTCAATGGCATTTCCTATAACACATTTGTATTTTCCCATTATTTTCCCTAATAAATATTGTTTTATTTTTTGCTTTTTCTGAGCATACATTACGAGGTATAATAACACTGTAAAATTGGGATATCATACTAAATTTGTAAGAACTCAAGAAAATGAACTGCTGTTGTGCTTTGTCTAATCTTGTCAATTGTGCTTTTTAATAAGGTCAAGGGGGACTATAGTCCTTCCGTCCTAAAAGTTATGTATTCAACTCGGAGGGTGTCACCTTTTAAAAAGGTATACCCAGAATATTATACGTAGTAGTTGCATATTTAGTAGGCAAATACTCGTTAAAAAATTGTGCGATCTAAAGGGTCTGATTTCTGAGCTTCCGACTAGAACTACCATTGTATATTTGTATTATCTGTCATTTTGAATGCATTCTTCCAAAGTTGAAGTCAAGCAGCTTATTTTTCATCTTTCCAATGGTAGGTTGAGAAAAAGTCAGGTGCTAGCCCATTGTCCAAATATGTCGTCACTCTTCGTCAGAGAGCACAAAAAAGAAATGAGTCTCTAGTTGAATCAAGGTTCAGCATACTCATCTTTCATATGCTGTTAGATAATCAAGGTTCAGCGTACTCATCTTTTTTATGCTTGCAGTGTACTTGTTGGTGAACGTTCATCGGTATTTGGAAGTAAGGTAGAGGAGGCTGACCATGAAGACAATATGGAAGAGAAAGGTGATGCTATCTTCAGTTCTTCTTCCTGGCTACCTGGAGGCATTCCCAAGTACATTCACCCTCCCCTCTTAGCAAAATTATTTCTTCATTTTGCTTTTAAAACCTGTTTGTTGAGGCCGTTTGATAAGGCTTATAATGGATGAAGTTATGTATCTGCTGGAATTGTTGAAGCTGTAGCTGTAGCTGAAATGCCTGAATCTTGGAAATAATGGGAAACAATTAGAATATAATACCTCCGTTCTTAATTAATTGCAACATGTTGACTTTTACTCTATTCACATGTTCTACTTTGCCTACATTTTATTCACTAATGTATTATCGAATTAATTTTTGAAAAACATCATTAAATATGTCTTGTCATAAATTTTCAAAATCTGATTTTTATTTTTATTTTTTTACTACTAGAGAATTAAATATATTAATGGTCAAAGTTGTGTGCTCGCAAACGCGAAAAGAGAAGTGTCGCAATTAAAAGAGAACGGAGGAAGTATTTATTGGTAAATTAAAAGAAAAATACATGAAAACGGCTAAAAATGCTCTGTCGTCAACTTCAGCAAAAAGTTTTCTCCGATCCCACTTTTTCTGCCATTAATCCATTATCCAATTCCACACACATGATCAAATAAATTAGCTTTTGATATAAATAAATAAATTAGTGTGTTTGATCAAGAAAACAATAAAATGGTACTCGATAAAAGAATAAGTGAAACCAACTTTAAACAATATCAACTATCATCCATTGACGGATAGACCGATAATAGTACACACTTCACATATCAATTTCCTAGTACCAACTTTTTGAATATATAATGGAAGTGATACAGAATTACAGACCTACTTTCCTACCACATATCTGGTTATTTAACCCATCTAAATCTTTTATCAAATCATCATAACTCCATTTAACATCAGTCAGTCCATGCAATTTTGGACTCAATTTTCACTATGGGTCATCCGGAAACAGTCTCTCTGTGCTTTAGTACAGGGGTAAGACTGCGTACATCCGACCCCCCCTTACCCCACCATAGGTGGGAGCCTTTGCGGCACTGGGGTAAATGAAAATGATGAAAATGATCAGAACTCCATTTAAGAACAAGTTTTTTTGATGGTTTGTTTTAGTTCTTGGTGGGATAAATGAGTAGGTATTTTTGTGCGAAATTCGCTCTGCCTGAATTTTGTTATATATTCACCATTCAGATAGTTGGTAATACTGAAAACTTATCTGAGACGTGTATTATTATTGGCTTATGGGTGTTAGTCGGTTTAATGTGAAGCTGTTTACAATAAATTAGTGCTTTATAAACAAGCTTGTCTAATAAAGTGGCGCTACCGGGTGACCAATTAATTTTCTGAGATTTAAAAATGCATTTTCAAATATATATTTTGCAAACAAATGAAATTGTACCTAGATGGAGTTAAAGGTGATAATTACTTCCATTTCATACGAAAAGTAACTTTTGCACTATTATTTTCATTATCATCTGATTCAATAAGTTAGTGATGTTAGGGCTCGAAAGTATTTCATAATGCTGAATAGCTGATAAGCAGAAAAATTAATAGTACCAAGCAGGCACTTTTTTATTACGGAGTATTATTTTATATTTGGTAATATAAGCTGGGTGTTTTGTCTTCAATAGTTTTGTCTTCAATAGTTTAACCTGATGGTTCTTGTATAGTACAAAGCTCACAAAGGAGAAAAAGTCTAAGAAGAGAAAGGAGTCACGGGACGAGGATGCTTCAGATGAAGACATTGTGGAGGATTTGGTGCTTAGCTCCGAAGAAGAAGATGGTTCTATAAGCGATACACCCACAGAAGACGTGAGCAAGAAGCAGAACTCAACGGTAAGGTCATCTAAGAAGAAAGGTAAGTTCAATCCAAAGAGATCAAAGAAGAGAAAGCTTTCCACTTGATCAAGTAATTTTGAGCTGAGGCCCAATTTTCAAATGAGCATCTTTTCCCAATTTTGATGTTTGCTTAGTTTTCATATTTTCCTTTTAATTGCGGCCATATATATTATATTATACATTGAACCATTCATTTGGTGGTAGTTGTACTATTTTGATTAGTTTGGTTGCGGTCAATATTTACTTGAGGTTATATATTTATTATTGCATATGCATATCCAATCAGTATAGGCTTTATAACTGTTGCTATATTATTTAGTGGAAACTACACAAATATGCTACTAATATAAGATTGAATGATTCAATTTGAATCATAAATAGATTCATTGAAGATGAAATTAGACATCCAAGATGAAATCACAAATTAGACGTTGGCTTATGATTTTGGTCTCGTACTGCTATTGTGGCAGTATGTGGTGGCGGAAGGTTGTTACAACTATTGCTGCTCTTGCTTGTATAAATCAAGTTTAACAATGGCTTTTTTCTGGTATTTAGTCATTTAGGCTTTTCATCGCCTATGGCTTTGCCTACTTTATCAGGGCAGGATCATAATGTAAGCAACAATTGTATGCTTCAGTGAAGCTCACTGTCGCTGTAAATCTCATATAGTAGGAAAACAGGATGGAATGACCATATTGTGTTTGCAGTCAATCACTCAAACATTTCATGAACTAGCAGCCATTGCCCATTGGGCCAAAAGTCGCAATTATAACTTCAATTATAGATGGACTTGCTCTAAGGTCTCTAGTTGCATCCAAGGTAAATATATTGCTGATTCTTTAGCAATTTCAAAAAAGAAAAACAGAAAACAAACTGCAACTTGTCTGATTCTGGGACCGAAATTATTGCTATCCCTAAATCCCTAATTGTACCTGAGCCCTGAGGTGAATGCGGATTTGGTTCTAGCATAGTAGCATATACTTGTTTGAAGAACTGAACTAAAACTAGTCCGATTTGGTCCTGTTTTGGAGAAACCAAAACAGGTTTTGAACTATGAAGGGTACCCAAAACCAGATTTGATTTGGAATAAGCAAAAAGGGCTTTTACTATGGTTGTGTGACTGGTGTGTTATTGTGGTGATGACAACAATGTCAATAATAGTACTCCATTGCATAGTAATTCGTTTTTACATAACTTCAACGCTTCAAAACAATCTCAATATAGTTATATAGTCATTGGTACATATTACATAATGTTTAGGGGTGGATTCGGGCCGGGCCGGGTCCGGGTTGGGCCTAGGCCCGGGCAGGCCGGCGGGTCTGAATAGGTAAACACGGGACCGGCCCGGTAGCCACCGGGTCTGGTCCGGGTATGGGCCGGGCCTCAGGTTTGGTTATTTTTTTTTGCTTACCTGCCTATCCCTGACCCCCCCCTCACCCCCAAACCCCCTAAACCCCTCCTAAACATCAAGCCCAACCCGGTTGGAGCCCAAACAAATGAAAAAAAATAAAAATAAATTTGGCCCGAACCGGGCCCGGCGGGCCTTGTTTTGGGTGACTCGAGCCCGGACCGGAAACTTCTCGTGTCGGGCCTACCCGGATCGGTCACTGACCGGGCCACTGGTTCGGGCTGGGCCGGTATAGTGCCGGTCCCGGGCCGGTTCCGGGTCGGGCCACCCGGCCCGAGTCCACCCCAAGTTATGTTATCAAACTCCAAGTATACTATCTATAGTGTCTAATCATACCTCAACAAATAGTGAAAAAATGACATTAAATTCCAATTTCGCTACTCATTATTAGATTAATAGACTCTTCCATGTTCCAACATTGTGAACCCAAGGTGATATAGACTCGGTCACATTTCTTATGTTAAAAAGAAAAATTCTATTGGTACAAATGATTTGTACACACTTGACACAATTTTCTGTGTACACAGACATCTCTTTTAGAAAAAAACAGCAATTGTCAGTGTACACAAGTGAGTGTAAAATATACACAAAATGTGTACATCCCTGATTACCTGTGCAAAAAGGCAACTCGTTTAGAAAAAGACAACAATTGTCTATGTAGACAGACAAGTGTATCAAGTATGTGCAAATTTTGTGTACATAAAAAATGGTTGTGTTAAAAATCTACATGTTGGGAGCCACAAAACAAGTGAGGTACAAAATGTAATATTAAAAGGTACACATGAGATCATTTTCTAGTAAAGGTGGGCTGCATCAACATTTGGTAAAAAGTGTAGTGTCGTTGGATTATTCTTAGAAATTACCAATGATCTATTTTTGGCCAACTTCAACCTTGTTGGAGGTGCAAAAAAGAAGATAGTTATCTTGAAGTTCACCTGCCAGTGGGCAGCTAGGCAATTCAGAACTGCAAGACAAGATATTTTCCCTCTTTGCCATTTCAAGATCCGTTAGTTGGCACCAACTATTTACGGTACTATAATATACTACTAAAGTTGTCTTATATTATGTCTTATTTTTGTTTGACATGATTGTTAATAAGCTAATTAACAAGTAAAAGTTATGGTTAAGATTTGAGTAGAGTAAAATGAAATGATATAAACTATTTAATGTACTCATTAATAATAATACTTGGGAGTTGGTGCCCTTTGAGAGCTCTAAGAATATTGATGGATGTAAGTGGATTTATAAAACTAAATATCATTCTGATGGATCCTTAGAGCACCATAAAGCTCGATTAGTTGCACAGGGTTTTAATCAGCAGACAGGTATTGATTTTTTTGAAACTTTCAGTCCTGTCGTAAAACCCACCACCGTTCGTATTGTACTTACTCTTGTTATTTCTTTTGGGTGGGTTATACGACAACTTGATGTTAAGAATGCCTTTTTGCATGGTCATCTAACAGAAGAAGTTTATATGCGTCAACCCCGTGGTTTTATGCATCCTCAATTTCCTGACCATATATGTCGTTTGCGCAAGGCCATTTATGGTCTTGAACAAGTTCCACGGGCCTGGTTTCATAGATTTAGTAGTTTTCTTCTGCAACACCACTTTTCATGTAGTAAATCTGACAATTCTTTGTTCATATACCGTCAGAATAATACTATTATTTATCTATTATTATATGTGGATGATATTATTATTACTGGCAATTCCGAGTCATCTGTTACCCAATTTATTTCGATTATCTCTAATCATTTTGCTATGAAAGACTCGGGTAATCTCCATTATTTTATGGGGGTCGAGGCTATTCGTTCAACCAAAGGTATGTTTCTCTCTCAACATAAATATGTTTCTGATCTTCTAATAGCCCGTTTTCATCTTCATACAGTCAAGCCTGTTCGCACCCCGTTAGCTTCCCGTACCACTCTATCTCTTTCTGATGGTGAGTTACTGTCGGATTCTACTGAGTATCGTAGCATGGTTGGTGTCTTACAATATTTAACTTTGGCACGGCCATATATTACTTATGCAGTACACTTAGTGTCTCAGTTCGTGCATGCTCCTCGTACCACTCATCTTTTTGCAGTCAAAAGAATTTTCAGGTACTTGCAGGGAACACGAGATCATGGGCTATGACTTCAACAGTCTAATCGGCCAACCTGTGTAGTTGCTTACTCCGATGCTGATTGGCCGGGCAGGTTGTCCTGGTAGTTCTCGGTCTACCACAGGCTTTGCTGTCTTTTTGGGTCCGAGTTTGGTTTCTTGGAAGACTAAGAAGCAGTCTACTGTGTCAAAATCCTCCACATAAGCAGAATATCGTGCGATTGCTTACACTGTGCAAGACACACTACATATACGGTCTGTTCTGTTCGAGCTTGGATGGCCAATTACGGAGCCGGTTCATTTATTGTGTGATAATATCTTTGCTTCTTATTTGACTGCAAATCCTGTTCAGCATGCTCGCAGTAAACATATCCAGATTGATTATCACTTTGTTCGCGAACGGGCTGCTCATGGAGATCTGATTGTTAAGCACGTTCCTACTCATCTACAGCTGACAGATATCTTTACTAAAAGTCTTCCTAGTCAACATTTTCATTTTTTAAAAGACAAGTTGCGCGTTGTATCTCCCGCACAGCTTGAGGGGGTGTGATAGAATTATTAGAGGACTAGTATTGTACTTTATATTAAACTCTCTTTAATATAAATATATCCGACAGGGCTCCTTAGGGAGTAACCTTTTCCATTATTCTCACAATTTCAAGATCCGTTAGTTGGAACCAACTATTTACTGCACTATAATACACTACTATGGCTGTCTTATATTGAATGTCTTATTTTAGTTTGACTTGATTGTTAATAAGCTAATTAACAAGTAAAAGTAATGGTTAAGATTTGAGTAGAATAAAATGAAATGATATAAACTACGGAGTACAAATTTCATGTCAGAAAAGAAACAACATAGTCATTTTGAGACAATCCAAAAAGGAAAGTAAGACAATAAAATATGACAGATGAAGTTAGGGGTGGACCCAACCGGTTCGGCCCGGTCAGGAACCAGCCCGGCTCGCTGCTGTGCGGGCCTGGACCCGCCCGACCCATGCTAACCGGGCCTAGGCTTTTACCCGGTTTGGGGCGGGTTGGGCGGGCCGGGCTCGGGCCATGTTTTTCTTGAACCGACCCGGGCTTTTTTTTTTGTTTTTTCAATTTATTTTGTTTTCTTGGTTAGGGCTGGATGTTTTGGGGGGGGGGGGTTTGGGGAGTGGGGTCGGGGGTTGATTAGAAAGCAAAAAAAACATAGAACCGGGCCCGACCCGGACCCAATTTATACTCAGGCCGGATCCGGTTCTCCCTTTCCCAAAAAAAAGCCTGCCCAGGCCCGGGTCCACCCCTAGATGAAGTAAGAAGTACTAAGAAATATGGAGTAAGAATCACCTTCATGCATAAGAAGGTGAGATTCGGCACCTAATGGTGCTAAAAGATGACAAAAATGTAACATATTTAGCAATATCGCAATAGAATTGATTTTTTGGGCAATACGAAAAATTGCATAGTTTGAAAATAAAAGTGTACAACATTTAAATGTGAAGATTTCACGTTACTAATGCCACAAGAAAGTTTATATGTACCCATATAAATATTTCATTTTCATACACACTTATACAGTTATACATACATTGAGTTCAGATTTTGCCATTGCTAATATTTTGCCTAATAACTCTGGAGTTTATGTAAGTGAAACTTTAATGTGCAAATATTACCAAGTGTTACGTTGTCAAGTTCAGATTTAAGCATAGATATATTTGAGCATACTAAAATGTGCGTCACCTGAACTCTTTAAAAAATTCCAACATTATCCCATTCAAACATCATTCCAAGATCCTTTCAGATGTATAAAAAAGATCATTCCAAGATAAAAA